GTTAACCCTATCCCTGCTGGGGTACTTGAAAACCAGGATACGCTGGGGGGGGGGGGTCAATTTGACCCCCCCCCTCTAAATCCCATGTTTTATGTCCAAATATGACAAATGATACATCATTAGAAAGCTCTTGTGCTCTACTTTTAGAATCTGCAAAAAAAATTGCAAATTTGCGAAAATTGAATTTTTTATCGCAAAATCCAGTTTTATAGTAAAAATGTTTGCAAAAAAAAATTTGTCCAAAAAATGAAAAATTATACATTTTTGAAAAGCCCTTGACCATGCCATTTCAAATATGCAAAAATTTTTGCAAAATTTTAAAAAACCTGATTTTTAATCAAGAAAAACTAAAAATGTGCAAATTTCCTTTGACAGGTTGTTTGCAAAAAATTTGCAATTTTTTTTCGCAAAACTTGTGCAATCCGTTTCCTTATGTCATAGGCTTTCCAAAAAGCTAAATTTTATCAAAATCTGACAAGTGAAAGTGGGTCAAAACAAAGATTTAGTTTGTTACAGGCAAAAGCAGTCATTCAGGCAGTGTGCCTGAGGACTCAGGCAGTTAGTATTAAAGCCCGGTTTTAGGCCTAAAGGGAGGGTTTGGGTATGTAAGAAAAGTCAGAAAATTTCAACAGCCTCAGACCAATACTTTTTGAGTTATGTAAAAAAACTACAGGGGGGGGTCAAATTGACCCCCCCCCCCCAGCGGGAATAGGGTTAAAATTCTAAAGTTTGATCTCAAATACATGAATCTTAACTGTTTGAACATCGATAATTCCAGATCAAAGCAAATATATTTGATTTGATGATATTTAAGGTACAATATACAGGGCTAGCGTTTTAATCAGTAAAATTGTGCATGCGAAGCCATTTTTTTTTAGCTAATTCTCACGCTTTCTAAAAATTACAACAAAAAAACATTAAAAAAACTGCGTGTTCATGTATAAAGTTTCATGGATTAGGATTAAATGAAAGGAATCCTAAAACTGCGTGTTCATGTATAAAGTTTGATGGATTAGGATTAAATGAAAGGAATCCTAAAACTGCGTGTTCATGTATAAAGTTTCATGGATTAGGATTAAATGAAAGGAATCCTAAAACTGCGTGTTCATGTATAAAGTTTCATGGATTAGGATTAAATGAAAGGAATCCTACAGAAGCTCCCCTATATTCCTTATAAGTATTAAGCTATTTCTAGACGTATCCCGAGGGTTGGGGGAAAAGAGAGAGGGGGAATTTCCTTTGAAGGGGGGTGGGGAGGATACCCCCTGAAGGTTGGATGGATGTTATGACCTAGTAGGTAGTATTGGAGGCTGGGATGAGGATGTATTGTCTAGCTCCGTGAGTAGTTCTTATACAAGATGCGTAGTTATACCAATTAGGGACAATTTGCGTAATGTTTGTTTATATTTCAGTGCCTGAGCAATGTTATTTTACATACTTTAAGATTGAGTTTGTGTACAAACAACCCCCCAGTTTAAACACATTGTTAAGATATTTCCGAAGATGGAAAATATTAAGAAATTAAGAAATAAGAAATGATATTTCAATCAATCATTTTAAATTTCTGCTTTCCCATGAAAGGATGAGACTTCAGATATGACGAAAGTTATTCAATCTTTTTTCTTGCATTCATGTAGTAAATAGTGTACTCTTAAAACTTCGTCCAAAACTGTATCAACCCAGGTACAACTTGTCAGCAATAATTGTCAACAAGGACACAAACTATTCAGTGATCAATTCCAAACCAATGGGCACGATCTGAATGCCACACAGGGACACATGCGTAGCTATCAAACAAGCTCTTAAACAATAACTACCAAACCAATGAGCACGATCTTATCGGCTCTGAATGTCACACAGGGACACATACATAGCTATCAAACAAGCTCTTAAACAATCAAAGTCAAACCAATGAGCACGATCTTACTGACTCTGAATGCCACACTGGGACACATACATAGCTATCAAACAAGCTCTTAAACAATCAATACCAAACCAATGAGCACGATCTTATCGGCTCTAAATGCCACACAGGGACACATGCGTAGCTATCAAACAAGCTCTTAAACAATCAATACCAAACCAATGAGCACGATCTTATCGGCTCTAAATGCCACACAGGGACACATGCGTAGCTATCAAACAAGCTCTTAAACAATCATTACCAAACCAATGAGCATGATCTTATCGGCTCTGATTGTCTCACAAGGATACAAGCGTAGCTATCAAACAAGCTCTTAAACAATCAATGCCTATCCAATGGGCACAATCTCATTGGCTCTGAATGTTGCAGAGGAACACAAGGGTAGCTATCAAACAAGCTCTTAAATGATAAATGCCAAACCAATGGGCACAATCAAATTAAACAAATCTATCACAGCCAGCATCCTTGCAAAGAAATGCACAAAAAGTCCTCTTTACTTGTGAAATAAAATTTTCATATGCACAATTAAAGGCAAAGTTTTCTAAAATCTTAGAAGTTAAGGATTTGATTATTTGATCAAACCTATATCTTTGTAACTTTATGTTGACCTTTGATATTTCAAAATATATATTCAAATATCAAAGACTTACATAGTAAAATTTCAAAATTATAGGAATTAGAAAATCAAAGTTTGTTGCCAATAATAATTTTTTAAAAGATCTTTTTTGTTAGGTATTATATGTTACCCAAAAAATACCCTTTTGAATAATTGGATGTCATTTTTTCCGGAAACTATAGTCTCTGATCCATACCAAACTTTATCTGGCTTCCTGTAAAAGTGTCCCTCTGTCCTTATAAAAAAATATTACATAAAAAATTATATGAACATCAAAATTTTACAATATTCTGTTACGCGGCAAAAACTGACGTACGTTTAAAAATGACTTGCTAATTAGATTCTAAATTTGCGCGGTCCGTTCTTGTATCAGCTTTCTCCACGAGCACTCAGGTGCAACATTTATTTAGAAAAGTCAACAAAATATGTATTTAAATACCGAAACTAGATCATTTAGTGTTCAGCTAGGAGGGGGTACTAGGGGTACCATTCTTCTTTATTAATTTAATTTTACCAAAAAAAATATAAATTAAGATGTTAACATTTTTAAATCAGTGAACCCAGTAACATCCATATAAAGTATTTTGAAGAAAAGGGAATAATTCTCCGTTTAAACTTTGTTAATGTTTCCTATTTCTACGAAGGATTGGAAGTTTTAGTCTTGTAAAGGAAATCTGTCTTACCACAAATTCTGATTTTTAAATACCTTTATCTTTGTCGTATACTGCAAAAATAAAGAGATTAAAACATTTAAGTTATAGTGGCAAAGAAGCTATGCAAAAAACTTATAGTTTACCATTTCTAACCACCGTGCAAATAGTCAAATATTAACATTCTTAATGACAACCTTATAGTACTTTAAAATCAATTGAAATGTTTATAGATTTTATGATTACATTTTGACGGTCGTAAAATCCATTAGCAATAAAACATACATAAAATCATGTTAATTAGGGTGTAAATGATATTTCATAAGTTTAATAAGTTTCATAACACAAGAATAAAAATAAAAATAATCATTAATTATAATTAATAAAAATGATTACGAATATGAACTTTTACATATTCTCGGATCATTCGAAGTTTCACAAAATTACAAATTCAGTATCATACATTTTTTAATAAATAACACTGCTTTTAATTTAATAGTTAGATACTTATCAAAAATAAGTGCTCAATTCCTTTAAGCATTTTGTTTGTGTATTTGTATGTTTGTGTGTGAAGATAAACAATATTAGGATAGTTAGATAGTTAGATAGAGAGTGCCTGTGCACTCAAGCGTAGTAATCAGTAGTGTATTGCAGGCCGTTAATACGTTATATACTATACCTTGCTTTTTCTTACAAAGTTATGTATTTGTAATGTACATTCTGCATGGTACAGTTTACAGAGTACACTGTACTATTTATAGAACACAATGTACTGTTTACAGAGTACAGTGTGCTATTTATAGAGCACAATGTACTGTTTACAGAGTACAGTGTACTATTTATAGAGCAAAATGTACTGTTTACAGAGTACAGTGTACTATTTATAGAACACAATATACTGTTTACAGAGTACAGTGTACTATTTATAGAACACAATGTACTGTTTACAGAGTACAGTGTACTATTTATAGAACACAATATACTGTTTACAGAGTACAGTGTACTATTTATAGAACACAATGTACTGTTTACAGAGTACAGTGTACCAAAGACTTTGATAATTAAAGATAGCGCATCAGAAAATCTACGCAAAGGAATTGAGTTTTTGCAACAAATTAAATTTTCTAACCCCTATATCTTTGCAACTTGATGGTGTAAACCTTTGATATTTCAAACTTAGACCATTTGATCTACCAGAATTAATAGTTTGAAATATCAAAGGTCTAGGAAAACGGGTTGCTAAGTTATAAGAATTAGAAAATCTGAGTTGTGCCAAAAACTCAATTCCTTTGACGCATTTTCAGGGGTACTGAAAGATCGTACCAACGGTCGTCTTCTCCAGAAACACTGACGTTTCATAATGTCGTCTTTTGTAAGGAATTAAATAATTATTTAAAAACAAAACAAGGAAACAACTTTAGTTTTTCTATCTTGAAATATTTTATTTGTTCATAGTCCATAAAAGTGACTAGTGGAAAGACAATGAACATAATTTACAGAATTCATCACTTTTTAAGTTGAAATAACGACGATATCTTGCTCATTGTTATTCAAATAAATGTTTAAATGGTACCGTTGTTGATAGGACCTGTAATGGGTTGGTAACTTGAAATTACATCTACCAGTCTTTTAGAACATTTACTTTTGGTTTGAAGTATATTAAGTGTTTATAAGAAGAAAATTAATGTTACGTATCTTGTATGCATGTAACCTTGTACTTTTCAACAGTAATCAATTATTTTATTTCATTACTTTTTCATTCAAGATTAAATTCTCTCACTACCTGATTTAAATGAATTATTGAAAAATATAACTTCATAATATTTATTTAACAATGTAATAGTTTTTACAAAATCGGGATATTTCTCTGTAAGGAATTCCTATTATCCAATTAAAGAGCCTTCGTTCAAACTTTTTTCTTTTTGGATCTGCTGGCATTGTAAACGCAGACTCTCCTATTCTTAGTTGGCTTGGTAGTTGAGTATCATAAATACTTTGCTTGGCAGTGGCACCGATGAACCTGAATTTATCAGAATTGTTCATGCATTGAACTTGTTTACATAATACTCCAAAAGGAGTTGATTCTTTGCCACAAACTCTGATTTTCTAATCCCTATATCTTAAAAACCCAATGTCGTAAACCTTTGATATTTCAAACTTATATTATTTGATCTAACAGCATTTATAGTTTGAAATATCAAAGGTTTACGACATTGGAATCTAAAGATATAGGGATTAGAAAAGCAGAGTTTGTTGCAAAGACTCAATTACTTTGTAGACGAAATTTAGACAATCTCCATGTTCACTGCTCAATTGCAGTATTTTATGTTCATTGAACTATTTAATCAAAAATTGAGTCCAAAAGTCGTCTTTATATTTTCCAGTTTTATTTTCATCAATGTATTTCTTTAATCCACCTTTTTAAAAAATAATTCATGCCTGAAAACTATTGTAATCAGCTTTAAAAGACTTCTAAGTAAAAGGTCGTCCAATAATTCGCATTTTTAACGAAACTTCTGTGATATTTTTTCTTTAATGGTGAATATTTTGAAACAAAATTCCCATAGATTAATTGAAGAGTAATCAATACATTAATTTATGCGATATCATTTGTTTGCCTAAGATTCATCGCCTAAAATTCCATTCCATAGAACCTCAGGAAAAATATTTGACGACATCTGAAAATTTTCACTAACAATTATTGGCTATTTTTAATACAAAAGAGATGCGTAACTTTATCACAAATTCAGCTATAATTCACCAAACGATCCTCATATCCAACATATGATTAAATACATTTTAAGATACAAATAAATATCGTTAATTTTAGTTATTTTTTTAACAAAACATTCACAATTGTGTTAAATAACTAAGGTTTTAATGTCGATCGTTAGACTCTCAAACAACCAAAATAACCAATGACGTCAAAATACAGCTGTACAGGCGTACACAATAGTCGGATAAATTTCCAACGCCTCGTCTTTATATTTAGCAAAGTCTTTGGTACAGCGTAAGGAAAGGAATACAAATTGATTATAAAATAATGTGGTTAAATATTACATAATGTGTTTGAACTTTTTTTCCAAGTTTCTTTTCCTCTTTGCAAACTAAAGTTTTCAAAAAAAAACTATTTCCAAACAGTTCATTAAATCATTTCAGAAAATAATTCACTTTCTTCTTTTCAAAATTGAGACTTTTTCAATTTTTAATAATATGAAAGCTATATAAATATGCTCGATTAGTTTGAAAACGTGTTTAGTAATTCATGTTGTTTTGTCATGAATATATAAACTTTCTAAAAGAAAAAGAAAATTTGATTTGAGTCGGTTAAAATCTGTTCCGTGCCAATCAAAAGTTATCACCTATAACATTTAAAATTATCTAATATTTCATTGAAATTTTAAAATATAATTTTTAAACAATTTAAGATTTGAAATCAAATTAAACAGTTTACTTTCGGTACAATTCTTTTATCTCTCTTCAATACATAAGTCTGTATTTTTTCTTTCATGGTTTTTTGAAAGTTAAAGATTAAAAATGAATCCCAAAAAATACCCCCCTCCCTACAAAAAACTATAAAACATGAATGTCATACATTAAACACAGCGTCCAGTAATAACCAATCTTAATAAACAATAGAAAATGTTCTAGACTTATTTTAAGAAGATATAACTCATCTTTATCTATTTATAAACTTTGCTTATCTGTTTGTCCGGTTGAGCTCAATAAACGTAAAAACTGCTGAACCGATCGGGCCCGAATTTTTTGTGGGACCTCAAATGACCCCAGGGAAGGTTTATGAATGCTCAAAGTTACAAAAGTAAAAAAATATTAGTAATCAAAATATGAACGTTTTGTTGTATACTATGGAAATTCACAATTCTATCATCAAATAATGCGCAAATTCAGTTATTTCATTTGAGCCATATATTCCAACATGGTGTTTTCTAAAGAAGCCAAGATTTGGATTGTTCAGAGCTGAAAACTTTAGAATGGGATATCCTTAATCCCGATAGGATAAATAATCTGAAGATTAAAAATGAGTGGAGAACAAGCAATATTTAATCTCGAGATTAAGAAAAAGAGTGGATTAAGCCTTAATCCCGATATCCACCATTCTAAAGTTTTCAGCTCTGAACTATTCTTCTGACATATGACTAACTTTACCATCAGTAACTATTGACTGTTCCTGTTGTTTAAAGCCTTCAAGAGAGTTATTGTTAAGTTGAGAACTTTGTCAAGGAAATCTCACGAGATACTCTGCCAAGGGTTGATGACAACTTTTGTACCAGAGCCAAATTATGCATTTAAGAGGATGGTGGCCATTTTGAATATCTGTTTAAGAAAAAGAAGTAAACCTATTGATATAACAAAACGTTCATATTTGTAGATTAAAAAAGCCGCTGAATATATATAACCATATATAACCAGATTTATTTTTCTGTTCATTAATTTCAAAATTTCCACATTTAAAAGAATACGTGAAAAAATGTTTTTAAATCCGCGAATTTTTGTTTGTTATTTTGCACATTCACAGATAGAGCCACAATTAAAAGTTGAACTTGAAGATTAGCGCTAAGCTTAGTGAGACGCCTAGTGAAATATGAATCTGGAAGGGCAATTTCTTTTCAAAGGAATTAAGTCTTTGTCACAAACTAGGATTTTCTAATCTCTATATCTTTGTAACCCAATGCCGTAGACCTTAGGTATTTCAAACTATGAATTCTGTTAGATGAAAAGATTTAAGTTTGAAATATCAAAGGCTTACACCATCAGGTGGAAAAAATATAGGTATTAGCAAATCAGAGTTTGTTATAAAGACTCAATTCCTTTGTTACAAAGCTTTAATTTCTTAAAGGGAGTGACTGGCAATTATGTTAGATAAACTTAGAATGTAGTATTGTGGAGAAGTGTTTTAGAATTCACCTGAGACATGTAAAAGTTTTAATGATGTATAATTACTGAGCGCAAAGTCGACGTTCAAAATCATCCATTGGGGTGGTTACATTTGAGAATCACTTTTTTAATTTTTTAAAAACGACAACAAACAATGTTAAAAAATCATCAGTGAATTTTTTCGATAAATCTTTGTTTATTTTTCTTAATTTTATTAAATTTCTTATTCTTTATGAATTTGTTCGTAAGTTTCTTCAAACACTTCTATCGTTGTCTTTTCATTAAAAAATCCAGGAAATCTATAGAAAATGTTTGTTAACAATGAACATTAAAGAAACCAATAACTGAATAATATTACTTATTTTCGCACATAATGGGTAATTTTTATTGTCTCAACCTGTTCCAAACAACTAATTAGTTTACTGTAAAATTTTTATTACATTTTTTGTCGTCGTTTTTGGATATTTTTTTAAAAACCGATTCTCAAAATCTTAAAAATGAACAATCTATGAAAATTTTAAAGATTGAATTTGCGCTCTTGCTGAACAAATATGCACCGTAAAAACGTCTCATTGGTCTTAAATGATTCCTAAAAATTTTCTTTCTCGTTCCACACACTTTTCATTTTGAAGTTTATTATATTATCAAACAGAGTTATGTCTGTATTTGTTTAGTTGCGTAAAATATGAATAGTGAAAAGTAAACTTGTCTTATCTACATATATTAAAAGTAGTAATATCTGGTTTTCAACCTGTTCAAATATCCAAGCTCAACCTATAGGAACCCCTTATAGGATTTGCCTCAAAATTATATTTGGGAATTTGAAAGAACCAGAAAAACATTCTGACATTTTCTTAAAAATTCCCAGTCGTTTGTGTGGACTTTTTATTGAGAAAATTTAGATTTCCAGACAAAGATGTGTTTCCACGCAACTGTTATATACGTTTACTTGTGCAACTTTAATTTCTAGATAAAATTTCATAATTTTTAATTGAAATATTACGTTTATCTTATCTTATGATTAAAAACTAGGTATAGTTGTGTTAGCATATCTTCACGTGCAGTCTGTTGCTTCCTTATAATGAATGTTTAACTTTAAAATACTAAAAAAAATACAAAAAAATCTAAATTTTCCACCCGATAGTGGCAAAATTAAACTGTCAACAACTTTTAAGAAAAGGAGTTAAATATGTTGAAACAAATAAAAATTATTCATCTAAGAAGTGAATTTATTGTTTTTAAACATTGCCAAAATTAAAAAAGACAAAAAGCACGAAAAATAATCTCTTTTTTCTGCCTGTGAGGCTGTGATAGCGCATAGCCTCCATCAAGATTTAATTCAATATCCACGATGTATTCTTTAAATCAAAGGATTCAAGTTTAACTCTGGGAATGAACAGAAAATCCACCAAATGATAATTAAGAAACAATTAAAGAAAATGTCCGGGGGGAGGATAACCGACGGAGCACAGTTCGAAAAGATTTAAAATTTAAAAGTTTTGAGTTCAATCTAATTTTGTTCTTAGGGTAAGATTAAAACCTCAGAGGCTCAGCTCATAGGGCCCTTTTTGATCTCCAGGTCCCCATAAATTGAAAAAAGGAAAATTGACAGGGCACAAACAAAGACTATTTTTAAAGAAAGAGTTAAAACTACAAGATTTTATCTATCATAAGCATATAACTTACAATAGATTCTCTGTCATATTGGGGTCATCCTGCATATTTGTTTATAGGCTTTTCTTATCTTATGTACTTATTACCTGCAGATATGGGATTACCTGATAAGACAATTAGTTGATTGAATCTAATCATTCAGAGCTGAGAACTTTAGAATTGTGGATATTGAGATCAATGCTTGATCTCCTCTTTTTATTATTCTCAAGACTGTTTTAATCTGAAGCTTATATTCTGAAAAGCATGTAAAATTCAACCAATTAAGTGGCGTATGTAACATCTGAAACAGCCGATCAAAAACCAGAAATATTTAATTTTTCGCACCAATCAATGAAAGAACTCTCATAATAACAAATAATAATCTGCATCTTAGTGCACTGAAATGGGTTCAAAATTAAAGGCTTTCTGATTGAAAATACCTGGACATCAAAATTACATTAATATGCTATAATTATATACCGGTTACTGGATTATTTTTGAAAATACCAAGAGTGCTTTTTAAATTATAGTTCAGATGATATCAGCGATGCAATGTTTAAAGTTAACCCAAGAATGTTGACGTGATTGAGAGAAAGTCTATATTTATTCAAGATTTAAATCAATTTCAAAATATCTTTTAACTTTTCCAACATTCTTGCGGGATTGCCCCTAATGGGTCACGTGACGATATTGTTTACAAAAACAGGTATGTTAAAAGCATCTTATGCAAATCCTCAACTTTTTCTTATTTAAACTAAATATTGCACTTATTGTTGCTTCAAGAGAAAAAGAACTAAGCACTTGATTTTAATAAACAACATAAACAAATTGCTTTGATTAAACTTTAAAAACATTCAAGTTCAGAATTTCTAACGGAGTGAGAAGAATAAAGTTTTAAATAAGATGTAATTCTAATGTTTGAATAAATATAAAAGTATAATTTTCACTTTCATATTGATTACAAGTATCTCCACAAAATTACTTTATATTAATTATCCTTATTTTTATCCGAATCGAAAAATTAAATTAATTCAAAATCTATTTTTATTTTCGTTTTTTTCTTTAGCTACCGTAAACGTCCAGGCAATTGCTTTGACTCTCCATTTAAAAAAAAATCTAATAAGAAAAATAAACATTTTTAGCTTTTATATTACAACATTTACCACAGAGCAAAGAGATGCAACTTTACGGAATGTTAATTTCGTGATGAAATTCTATTAAAGCGTGATTTTTATTGAACCTCCGACTTTACAGCGAGGGCAATATCCGACAAGGGTACCCTTTAAATTTTTATCTGATCAAAAATGTGAAAGAAATTGTAGTTTTCATAGGTTTAAACGTTTGTAACTCCAGATATTTCCTAAATGGTTTTCAGCTATAGAAATGCGCAAATCACTCTTGTAGAGAAATCACAATTGAAAATACTCCTTTTTCGAAACACTAAACATTAATATCTAATTCATGCTTGATCAGACAAAGCTTGTAAAGGTACTGTTGTGAATCGGACGTTGTCATCTTTGCTGGAAGGGTCACTTGAAATTTTAATTTCACTCCCATTAAAGGGACAGACCGGCTATGTATGGTAGTTGAACTGAGTGTGCAGTGTTGTGGAAAGCTTTTTTAGGATTCATTTGAGACATGTAAATCATGAGTTTGAGCGCAAAGGAATTGAGTCTTTGTAACAAACTTATATTTTCTAATCCCTATATCTATGGAACCTAATGTTATAGATTTTTAATGTTTCAAAATAAGATAATTTAATGCAACAGCATTCATAGTTTGAAATATCTAAGGTCTATGACACTGGGTTGCAGAGATATAGGAATTAGAAAATCAGAGTTTGTGTCAAAAACTCAATTCCTTTGACGTTACAATTTGTTACAAATCAACAACGTCCAAACAAAGGTTATTCCAATGGATCATTCTCAGTAGTCCTATTGATACAACAGAGTTTGATTTCTAGAGAAGAAATGTAAGGTCGTCTTTATTTGCCAAGTAACGAACCTAGTCCGCACAATCTGGACACTGTGCTAGATCAATATGTAAATTTTAAGCGGCAAAGACTTAACACCAAATTCTTTTCTTACACTAAAAGGATCAAGCTCAGTATACGCAAGCAAAGGTTTTATGGGCTCGTGAAGATTGTTTTTTTAAATCAAATTTTCTTTACAAAAGTTTATAATTCAATTATTTCAGTGATACGTTTCTGTAAACTTTTGCAAACACTCCCTTTAAACATGTTTCAATAACACGAGTGTCGAAAATTACAAAATCAAAGAACTTGTAAAAGAGAAAAGCATGAAAGCGTGAAAATTTTCTTACAAAATATATATTTTCAGAATAGTCAATCCTTCATAGTCAATCCTGGGACAATGCATGATTTGCATAAAGCAGACAATACATATTCTATGTAAACTCAGTGACACGTAAATTTACATATACAAGGGACAAGGCCCTCTGCAAGTTGTTGTACATTACAACTGTACAGCTCAAGTTGGTGTACAATATAACTGTACAGCTAAAGTTTATGAACATTACAACTGTACAGTAAAAATTGTACAATCATGAAGCACTGTTTCCCAAGTTTGAAGCTACCCGTACAAGGTGTACTTTGCGTGGTTGGCGGATTTCTACTCTTTCTCAGGAATATATCAATATTGTTAAGCAAAATAAAAATTTATCTTATTTGCATTTTTTGTTATAAAAAATTCACCACCAAAAAACTCATATCAAAATGTATTCAGACCACGAAAAATATTTTCCGATTTTTCAGCTCAATTTTATTTTTTTAACAATTCTTTTTAAAATTTTTGTCGCAATTTATTTCTCTAGAATCTATAAAATTGAATAATACATATTTAAAGTTTTGCATCTGACTTCAGTTATAGTAATCTCAACACATATATAACATCATATGCAAGATCATCAGGGTAAATATATTGAAAATATCTAAAAATGGTAAAACTACATATTAAGAAAATATGTTCTTAATTTTGTTAACTTTTAACCAAAAAAAAAATCAATAATTTGTTTGCGGAAGTTAACAATAAAATAAACATTTTTCTAAAAAAATGTGGGTTCTCTCAATTGCGATAGATAACCCTTGGAAGTATAAAATTCAATTCAAATTCATTTTGTATTTTATTGTTGATTTATGCATTTCTGTAATTTGCACAATTGTATGTTTTGAAAACATTTGGATCTAGTACATGGGGTTGAATTTCAAATTTTAGAAAATTTTTTCTGGGAGTGAATAGGTAAATACACATTTCCAGTTTGATTTTTGTAAAAAGTTAGCAATTCTTTAATAATACGATTATAATAACGATAATAATAATTATAATAATAATGCTTTAAATAATTTAGGTATGAAGAGAATGGAGAATATATAAAATATAATCCTGAACTTACATATGCAGACTTTGTTTTTGTTACCACAACCAAGGTAAAGATAGATAGATAGATATATAGATATTGGGATAGATATATAGATAGATAGATAGATAGATAGATATATAGATATAAACCTTATTTTCTAAAGGATTTTTACTAAACAGTTTTCTTAGAAATTTTTTCAGTCTTAATTCCTATAGTCTAAATTTAAATTTTCAAAGTTAGAACCGACAGATGGGATTTGTAGTTAAGTCATTTAGTAGTTTAAAATTAGACTTGAGACTAAATTTTACCAGCTTATTCAAATCGCAGCCTTAGATGTTTAAAAAAAATTAATTGTTTTTAAAATTGTTTTGTCTAATGCTGCTTTTAAGTAAATACGAAATCTAATATAATATTTGCTTTATTTTTCAAATGTCAATTGTCTGCTGGTGTATATCAAATGCTTAAATTTGACCTTGTTTTTCTAAACATGCTAACTCGGAATTTTGAATTTAATGCGAATATTAAAATGCCAATCGCCTTCATGAAATTAGGAGTTGTTTTGTTTTAATGAATCTAGGTTTGGTTTTTAAGGATCTTGAGATGTCAGCTAATTTAATGGTTTTTAATGATATTTTGTTAAAATTGTGTAGTTTATCATTAAATATGTCTATTTAATGAATCTAGGTTTGGTTTTTAAGGATCTTGAGATGTCAGCTAATTTAATGGTTTTTAATGATATTTTGTTAAAATTGTGTAGTTTATCATTAAATATGTCTATTTAATGAATCTAGGTTTGGTTTTTAAGGATCTTGAGATGTTAGCTAATTTAATGGTTTTTAATGATATTTTGTTAAAATTGTGTAGTTTATCATTAAATATGTAGCTATGTCTACAATTTTCTTATCAATTGATCTGTTCTCCATTTTATAATAATTTATAAAATTCTTTCGATTAGATCAATCTTATTTACATATTCCTTAATAAGGTTTTTTAGGTGAGTAAAAACGACCCCTTGGGGGTCACGCTAAGACTAAATTTCACCGCGCTTACGCGCTCCAAAAGCTCACCCTTGCAGTACGCCCCTGTTATATGATTTATCTAAGAAATCTCAGCAAACTTAAAAAACGCATATCTCTTTCATATAAGTGCTTAATTTTCTTACAATGGCTGTCGCCAGGATTTCATGTTACTTGCAGGTTTATGCAACAACGAAAAGGAAGAATATTGACAGAACTTAAACCTTTTAAAGTTAGTAATACAACAATAATTGTATTTTTATCAGTCAGTATACAAGTTTACAGGATACCGTTGTGAATGACATGGATGTATAAACCGAGCACATTCCCTTTAAACCCTTTAAAGTTTTATAGTTTTTGGATTCTATAAAGTGTCACACTTGATGACTTTGCTTTTGAAAGATTGCAAATCTTGAGTTTCAAGGTAGTGCTGGCATTGCTGACTGTCTCACATTTTAAGAATTGATTACTCGCCTTAAACTCTGATATTGTATAATCCTTAATTCTTCACATGGTTTAGACCTTGGACTATATTATCTTGTTTAATGTTGAAATATCAATGGAGGTTGAAAAAAGGTTCCGTTAGCAAATATTTTGATAAAGTTAAAATTTAAAAAAAATCTTAATAACGCATTTACATCATTTAATTAAGATTTTCACGATTGTAGGACAAATAATCGTAGGACAAATTATTTCATGACAAATTACTGGAGGACAAATTATTGTAGGCCAAATTATTTCATTACAAATTACTGAAGGACAAATTATTGTAGGCCAAATTATTGCATGACAAATTACTGGAGGACAAATTATTGTAGGCCAATTTATTTAATGACAAATTACTGTAGGACAAATTACTGGAGGACAAATTATTGTAGGACAAATTATTTTATGACAAATTACTGTAGGACAAATTATTTCATGACAAATTACTGTAGGAAAAATAATTGTAGGACAATTTATTTCACGACAAATTACTGTAGGACAAATTATTGAAGGACAAATTAATGTAGGACAACTTATTGTAGGACACATTGTTGAAGGACAAATCATGTAGGACAAATTATTATAGGACAAATTATTGAAGGACAAATTATTGTAGGCCAAATTATTGTAGGACAAACTATAGAAGGACAAATTATTGTTCGACGAATGAAAGGAGGAGAAATTATTGAAGGACAAATTACCGTAAGACAAAAGATTGAAGGAGACATTATTGTAGGACAAAATTTAGTAGGATTTTCAAAATTTAATGACAATTTAAATTTTGTTGGAGGCTAATTTTAGAAATTTAATCATTTATAAACCTTTCCTGAGGTCATATGAGGTCCCACACAAAATTGTATTGGCTACAAACTAATAGACAAGCAAAGAATATTTAGATATACTGTAATTATTCACTTTGATCTAAATGATAATTGGCATTATTTACGCACACTTTTATTTGCTTATAGGCTCTTTAATATCTTTTCATTTTTAATTGTTTTTTTTAGGTATTAAATTCCAGTTTTTTAGGTCTTGCTGCAAGGATTTTGCATGCCTTTCCTTGGAGTTGTTGCAAGAAAAATAGGGGTCAGACCTTCAATTCTAGTTGGTAGGAAATTTAATTTTATAAAATAGATTTTTTCATTTAGCAAAGCAAAATCTTAAACATATTGGAACTGATTACTCGCTTTAATTTCAAATTTTTAAAACCTTATATCATTAAAACTTTATGTCGTCGGCCTATGATTACCAAACGTAACAGTCAATGTTGAAAATATATTTTCGCCGGCAGGTTGCAAAGATAATTGATAAATAATAGAGTTTAAGGAGAATAATCGGTGCCAGAGAGAAGATTCACCGACAAAAGGTCAAACGACACAGGGTCAAACGACAAAGGGTCAAACGACAAAGGGTTAAATGACAAAGGGTCAAACGACAAAGGGTCAAACGACAAAGGGTCAAAAGTGCGACAAGGGGTCAAACGACAAAAGGTCAAAATGATAAAAATATTTTTTGATTTGAATCATAGGAAACTCGCAACCCTCCTATCAATTTTTTACATGGATCTTATATGTTAGACATGGATATAATTGACCATATGGCCGCAGCGCTAACCCCCCTGTGGCCTAGCTGCAGCGCTCGGCCCAGAAGGTTTCTTAACTAACCTAGCTCGTGGCTGCAGCGCTTGGCCCCCCAACCTGTCCTAGCCGCAGCGCTCGGCCCAGAAAGTGTCTTAACCTAACCTAACCCTAAATGATAATGAATAAATACTAACTGTATCAGATGTCAAAATTCAAAAAAAAATTGCCCCTTTGTCCCATTTTTTGACCCTATGTCGTTTTACCCTTTGTCGCGCTTTTGACCCTTTGTCGTTTGACCCTTTGTCGTTTGACCCTTTGTCGTTTGACCCTGTGTCGTTTGACCCTGTGTTCTTTGACCCTTTGTCGGTGAACTTTTTCATTAATTTAAGTTAAGAAAAACCTTAACTTAAATTAATGAAAAAGTACATCGCAACCCCAGTCAATTCAAATTGTCTTCGATCTAAACGATATTTGGTTTAGGTACAGATTTAGTTTGACAAAACAAATATGGTCAAGCACGATTTTAGTATTCAATTATGGAAAGAAATTGAGTTTTTGCCACAAACTCTGATTTCATAATTTCAATATCATTAAAACCCAATGTCGTAGACCTTTAATATTTCAAACTATGAATGCTGTTAGATCAAATAATGGAAGTTTGAAATATCAAAGGTTGAAAAGATATAAGGATTACAAAAATTGAATTTGTGTGAAAGACTCAATTCCTTTAATTGAAAAGCTAATACAGTATTAGTTACTAAACATAATCCATGCTTAAAATATAAATTTCTTAAAATAAGATATTGAACAATGCATTTTTTAAGGTTCATTCATTTACAGTGCTGGATTTCTGTTGACCAGTGTCACCATTAAAAACAAATTTTCATTGGGTGAGAATTGAATATTTATGTAAAAAACTAAGGAACCATGAGTCTATGCCGTAAACTATAAAATATGGTTAGATAAAATAGTCTAAGAAATATCAATTGTTAACATCACCAGGTTGCAAAGATATAGGGATTAGAACATGTAAGTTTGTGGTAAAATAAAATTTTCGGTGAATAAAAATATTTATTAAATAAAATATATAATTTGAAAAAAAGCTAAAGTAAACAGCTTAATTTTTATTCAATAAAAAATACATTTTGTAAACAGAAAATGTTCATTAAATAAGAAAGCATATCAGTGAACAGCATATTTCCGTGAAATAAAAAATATATTAAGTAAATAACAAGATTACGCAAGGGAAATAGTAATGTTAGGTAAATACATTTCCTCAATCTGTTATTAAGTAATAATCTTTTTTCTTTCAAGTTTGTAATTTTATTACTTGATTTTTTGGATCTCATCTTTCTTCTTCATCCATTATTTAACTTCAAGTTGCCTTATATTTATAGAGTGGCATGTCCGGTTCATAATGGTTCTCTGAAAAGCTTTGTCAGAATGCAGAAACGACAATTTAATTCAGATGTGTGATCACATATAGGTGTTTAGGGAACTGTTGTGAATCGGCCAAGTCCCTCAATTTGAATTTGAAAACGAAATCTTTTGCTCCAATTTTTTTTTATAGAAACGACTTTCCTTTGAAGTGAAATAATGGAACTGATTTTATTAAATTATTAAACATTTTAGACGCATTTAAATGAAGAATAATTTTAAACTGAATTTTTATTTAGCCAAAAAAAACGTTTTCACAAAAAATTTCCTTGATATATGTTAATTTTAGTTGTCCTGACAATGGCAATGCATGGTATTGGATTCTGTTTTGTTTATGCGACAGCTATTGGAGCAGCGCAGAAGTGGTTTCCACGTTCAATGAAGGTATACAGAGGCAACCATTAATCTGAGGAATAGGAAGACGACTTTTTTGTCTGATCTACGTTGTGCAGTGTTCACAGACTCATTTCACTTAATAGCTGATTTCAAATTACGAGTGTAAATAGTTACTTTAAAACAAAATCAAATGCACATAAGATTGCGAAGTTGTCGTTTTATTCAACAGTTTTCATCAAATCTGTGTGCATTGCCAACCTTCCTGCACTTCACCCCTGTAAATACATGCTTGTTAGTGCATTAACAGCTATGCATTTCAAGAATAATTAGAGCTATTTATTTAATACTGATGAGTGCTGAGCTGATATGCATTAAAGTCTGACTATTGCACTAGACATTTTGCAATCCTAAATATACACAAACGTCCGCCAATATCCTTTAAATTAATCATAATAGTAATAATATGCATCTGAACTAATCACTTGCATAAAACTACTATTAATCTTAGCTGGTAACTTGATCTCAATATCCAGTGTGATCACTTTTAATTTAAGGATCAAAGCTTAATCTCTTCATTTCAATTATTCATTAGGGTACGATTACCGTGCGGGATATCGAACAAAGATTTAACTAATTTGCAGAATAGATCGAGATCATGCATTTATCTCGATATCAACAAAACAGCTTCCCAGCTCAGATTATTTTCCTGTTTTTCTAATTACTTTGTTTTTACAACTATGCGTGATTGACTGTACTGCTGAGATATTTTAAAATTTTACCAGAATAGATCTAATAGAAATTATAGTTTAGAATATTAACATTAGTTTGCAAGGAACTAGAAAACTCTGGAATAAGACGACATTCAAGTAATAAATATATATTTGAGCAAATGTTTTAGCAGTAGCTTTAAAATTAACTTATTGAGTGAAATGGGTCTGTTTTCACTGCACAATTGTTCTGTCTGATGATCATTGGACAATTTAAATTAGTGAATTGAGTGTTAAAGTCGTCTTTCTATTACAGACTTTTCTGGTTATCACTCTGTACTGAACAGGAAGTTTTTGGACCGATCAATTTTTAACAGGGTTTACCAAAAACATGAGAATAAAAGATTTAATTAAAAATCACACGAAAGTACAGAGTTGCACACATTAACAACTAGACGGTACGAAAACAGTTTTTAAATACCTGTAAAACCAATTATTCTTTATCACGAACGCTTATTTTCGAATCCCTGTATCTGTGCACCCCAATGTCGTAGACCTGAGATATATCAGATTGAAAATTCGGTTAGATTAGATAATTTAATTTAGAAAAATAGAAGGTTTACACCACGAAGGTTGCTAAGATATATGGATTAGAAAAAACTCTATAAATAAAAAATAATAAGTTTAAAACTTAACTCCATTTTTTTCTAAATCATGAATATATGTACAGTGAAACCCTTAATAACGAATACATCGGAAGAATTTATCAAATGTCGTCTTGACAATTTTTCAATGAGTTATATACTATATTTCATAAATTTCAGTATTTGCGAAAATAAATAAATATCCATGAATATGCGGGAACAGTTTTAAAGAGTTCCATATAATCATTTAATTAAAAAACTAAATATCTGCAACATTCCATTATCAGAATTAGTGAAGAATACGACATTTGATGAATTCTTTCGATGTATTCGTTATTAAGGGTTTCACTGTATATAAATATTTTTTTAAAGGGATTGTTCTGATTATTATAATTCTAGGGTTTGGTGAGCAGTCTGGTTTTATCAGGGTATGGGTTCGGATCTCTTATCTGGATCCCGGTCCAGACTAGTTTTGTCAACCCGGATAATATCAAGGCAACAGTGGATGAGAAATGTACATTCAATGGAACCCAAGAGGTAAGGAACTCGTGGACAATTTTCAAACTTTCTAAAGAAGTTGAAATAATTATACCAAGTTTTACAAAATCTCATATTTTGATCAAATCCTCTTCCTTACTCTTGCAAGCATACCCTTTGACAATACAAAACAAGAACCCAATCCTAAATCAACCCTTCCCCCCCCCACGTTTATCCCATCCAATATTAGGGTAATGTCAATGTCAATGTTTTCTGTGTCCAACAAAAAAGGAAAAATTGCTGAATTTTTCACTTGTTTGCTCCAAAAGGATGAATCCAGCTAGATATACCTGTCGACTCATACATTAGCAATCTAAAAATAACGTCCATTGTCTGGCAAGCTACGGCTATGAGTAAAATTATCAGCTAAACCAATGTTATGTGATTTATATGCATTGTTTGAATTGTAATTTGAATTTTATAAACCATAATAAATATTTAGATTTTAATAAAATCCAATCCGACCTCCCAAATCCAATGATCAATCATATTTATTAGAGCAAATGCGACAAATACTTCACTGATCCTGAAGTTCTGGAGAATATTCCGAACATGTTTCTCCTGCTCGGAGGTGTATTCGGAGCTCTCGGTATCATCGCAACCATCCTTATCTCCGAACCCAACCAGAGTAAGGAGGACCAGGACGAGATGTCAAGTATCCAGGATAAAACTTCCACTGATCAGATGACCCAGACCTTCAGTCTAACCCCGATACAAGTTCTCAGAACTAGAACATTCTACCAGGTACTTTTTAAATGTCGTCTTCAGTATGCATCTTCTTCGGCACTGAAGTAGAATTAGAGTATTAACAAAAAAAGAACGATTTGGATTAAATCTTTGAATAAATTATTGAGCGCATCTAAAAACAAAGGATTTTTTATGAATTTGAGCGGTGGCTTAAATTTAAGCCACGGCTCAAATATAGTTGGTTTCACTTAAAATTGTATTCAATGTTTCAATATTTAAGCCGGTGCTTGATTGAAAACGGTTTTTGGCGGATTTAAGACGCAGCTCAAATTCATTAAATTCGGACACTGTTTATATTTTAATGTCCCATATCATATTAGATCGTTTATTGCTCTAAATTGAGATTTAATTGCATAGGATAGGGTACAGGGGGGGGAGGGGGTAAAAGTCCGGCCTGTGGAAAAAATTACTAAAGCTTCAGATTTAAATACTATTTTTTGAAAAGCTCTTGAAAAATGGACGCAGAAACATGTGTCACACTTTGATATTTGTTTCAAACAAAAAAAATATTTTTTACATTTTTTGACCTATTTTTTGGCATTTTTCAACCCTCCCTAGCACCCAAACTATAAAAGTTATCGGTCTTTTTTTTAACGAGCTGTCCTTGAACAAATGGGCTATTTAAAGATTTAGACCCCCCAGCCTTTATAGTGTTCAGGGACTAATCACAAAATTTCAAAAAACGAATTGTTCAAAAAAATGTACTAGGCTAATATGAAGATTTGCTTGCAGAAAATACCAGGTTTTTAAAGTATTATGTACGCATTTTGGCGTAAAAGCTTGGATATTAGAATACCAATATATCACTATTTTGGGAACCCAGCTTTACCTGTAAACTAAACTTTTATATAAAACTTAACCTCATCAACTAAGAAAGAATATTTTTAATGTTCCCCAAATCAAAATTTGAAACAAATCAATCTATGTATTCATGAGTTATGCTCGGGCATATATATTATATACACTTGACTTTTTCTTCAATTAAAGAATATCATTTTAATACTTTTACTTTCAGACCTGGATGGGATTCTTTAATATAACTCTGACAAGTGGAATTATTTCAAACTATTCGAAAACCTTTGGACTCACATTTATCAACGACGACCATTATTTTGCTCTGATCGGTGTCATCAGCAATGTTTTTAATGGTCTCTGCCGAATATTTTGGGGATTCCTTTACGATAGGTAAATTATGTACTTACAAGTTGTCACACGAAACAGAAGAGAATGACCTAAATATCTTCTTTAATCTTTAATATATTTAGTGATAAAATCTGCGCGTGGAAATCTTTAAAAAATGCCTTCACGATCAGTTTTAATTATTATACTGAGTCCGAAATTTAAAAGAGTATCGTTGAACGAAACTCCCGACTTTACTTTTTGGGGTCTTAGTATTTTTGTAGATTTTGATTTAAGAGATTCGAAAAAAATGGAGAATATGAAGAAACTAAATAGAATAATTTCATAACAAAAATATTGATATCCACAAAACTTCCTAAACCCTATTCGTGAAACCCGGGTTTCAAAACTGGTTTTCATAACGATATCCAGTCTTAAGTTTTGGGCTCATGGGGTACCATACCTCTGTAAACCACTGAACCAATGTGAGTTGAACTGCAGACTCTTTATTCAACGATTCACAACGGTACCTTCAATAGCTTTGTCTGACCATGAGTATGAAATAGATATTAATGTGTATAATCATGAAATCCGATTATTTTCCATTGTGGTTTCTCTACAAAAGTGACTTTGCAAATTTCTCTAGAAGAAAAGTATAAAAAGTTTTTTAAACCATAAAAACGACAATATCTTCCACATTATTGATCAGATAAAGATGTTAAGTTGATAACAAAAAAAATAAGAAAATACTATAAGACAACATTTTGGAATGTAGAGCCAAAAATTCGGTGAAGTATTATATGCATGAAGATGTGACAGTGAGAACCAACAAAGTGTAAAACGATGACCACAATAAATATTTGTTTTTTATTTTAGACTTGGATTTCGAGGTTGCTACATGTGTTTAGCTACAATTGTAACAATAACAACTGCACTATTCCCCTTTCTTCCATATTTAGGTATACACTTTTTTATCTAAGATTTTAAAAAAAATTAAATGCATTGAAATCGCTTCATGTTTGAAGAGATTTTAAATTTTAAAGAAAAGTTAAGATAATAAGATAATAATTGGGGTTAGACTTTTCAAAAATTTGAAAGAATGGATGGAGATCGTTGGAATTCGGGCAAGGTCTTTGAATGAAATTTTTTCGTCATTCCTATTTAGAAAACAGAAAGATTATTTTGATCTCTGTTCAGAAGAAATAAAACTTTTGTAAAAAATATCACATTTTTTTTTAACTTTTTGTTTTTTAGATGCCGACAGTATGGCCGCCAAGGGCTGCTACGGAACATGTATGGCTGTTTTATTTGCTGCATTCCCTGGGATCTATCCAATTATTGCTCCAGCGATCAATGATGGTTTCGGCCCCGATCATTATCAGGTTAATTGATTGAAAATAAAGTGTGTCCAAATTGTTTGACAATGTAAAGACGACAAAGTACAATGAGAACCAGAAAACTATGAAACAGGAAGACGACAAAGTACAATGAGAACCAGAAAACTATGAAACAGGAAGACGACAAGGTACAATGAGAACCAGAAAACTATGAAATAGGAAGACGACAAAGTACAGAGAGAACCAGACAACTTTGAAATAGGAAGAAGACAAAGTACAGAGAGAACCAGAAAACTTTGAAATAGGAAGACGACAAAGTACAATGAGAACCAGAAAACTATGAAACAGGAAGACGACAAAGTACAATTAGAACCAGAAAACTATGAAACTGGAAGACGACAAAGTACAGAAAGAACCAGAAAACTTTGAAATAGGAAGACGACAAAGTACAATGAGAACCAGAAAACTATGAAACAGGAAGAAGACAAAGTACAGAGAGAACCAGACAACTTTGAAATAGGAAGACGACAAAGTACAGTGAGAACCAGAAAATTCTGAAATAGGAAGACGACATAGTACAGTGAGAACCAGAAAATTTTGAAATAGGATGACGACTGTTATTATCAAGTTCTAGCTTTAAAAAAAATCCAATGAGAATGGAAAACAGTAATTTTGCAGTGTAAACAAACCCATTTCACTAAATTAATGATTTAATAAGTGTCTAGTTAAACTATTTGCTTTGTAACAACATCAATTACACTTAAGGACTTTTATAACGCAGTCTTCCCATTAACAATGACTATAATATAAACCTGGGCAGCGCCGGGCACTCCCACTAGTCATTAACAAGATCCTTCATTTATAGGCAAACTTTGGACTAATGTTTACTCAGTCAATAGCCTACGCTGGTTTCATCTTTGTACTGACTAAGGTAGGTTATTAACCACAAAACAGTGGAATGATGGCCGTCTTCTTTAATTCTATTAAAATTTTAATTTTTGAAATTTGGGACTTTTTATGAATAAGCCCTGAACAGACGACCTTTGATTTTTCAAAATGACTATTTCCAGGTTAAAAATAAGTCTTCTACCTTAAATATAGTCTCCGGAGTCTTATTCTGTGTGTGTAACCCCGAAAATAGTTATTCTTTAATAATAAAACTAATAAATATAAAATTACAAAACTGTGAATATCAAAAATTAAAACCATAAGCAAACTTACTGCAGGGTAACTCGGACAAATGAAATGTTTGGGTAATTTTAAAAATTCAAAAGTTAAAATTGATTTCAAACATATTTCATGTAAATTTCGGAAAGCATTTTCTTCTGCATGTATAATTAGATTTTAGTTTAATCTAATTTACAATTCAATCTCTCACTATCTTTCTAAATTCTAAACCATGAAATGCATTCATTAACTTAATTGTTCTAAAAGCATTAATATAACAAAATGGTAAAACAAAAAAAAGACGACATTTAACAACGAAAGTGATTTGAAAACAAAACTAAACTTTCCTAATGGTACAATTATAATTTTTGCTCTTTAATGATTACTTATTATATAGTTATTGATATTTGATATACTTTGCTTGTCTGTCTGTCTATCTGTTTGTATGTATCCAATAAACGCGACAATTTAAATAGAAGATGGGCGCGGAGCGCTCCTGAAAGCCTATTTATATATGATTTCCTGCCACTATGTAAACTTATTTCGCTCATTTAAAAAAAAGTTATTGATCCATTTAAAGAATAATTTCAAGACATAAAATGTAACTTTACCTTCGGATTCTGATATTTTACGAGTTTAAAGTCGTCCTTTGTGGTTAACCAGCTGTATCTAAACCTTGTTTACTCTAGATCAGTGTTGTATATGCATTCCTGGGATATTCTGGTATGTTTGTGGTTGCTGCAGTTATAGGAGTTCTGGGTCTAGTAACAGTGTTCTTTCTACCTAAACATCTTTCATCTGAAGCATACAGGAGCAAGTTCAGTTGAGGAGGATGATGTATTGTAAAGAGGGTCCTATAAAAGTATGGAACATGAAGACGAATTTATACCCGAGATTTTGAAACAGACCAATCGGACACTTTAGACAAACCGAATTCACTTCATAATCTGATTCAGCACTTTTTGCTTTAACCCTATTTCGACTGTCGTCTAGTTTACGCAAAATAGACTTTATCCTTATTTTGAAATAAATCTATAACATATGATACATGTTTGGAAAAAATTAGCAAAATTTGCAAAAATTTTTATACTTTTTGCTAAAAATTCTCTAACTATGATACATTTTTAATAAGCCTTTGACCCAGCAAATTCAAATATGCTAAAATATTTGCAAAATTTTTAAAACCTAAATGTGTATTCAAGAAAAACAAGAATTATGCAACTTCCCTGTTGAGATATCTGTGCAAAAATTATGCAACTTCCCTGTTGAGATATCTGTGCAAAAATTATGCAACTTCTTGAGATATCTGTGCAAAAATTATGCAACTTCCCTGTTGAGATATCTGTGCAAAAATTATGCAACTTCCCTGTTTAGATGTCTGTGCAAAAATTATGCAACTTCCCTGTTGAGATGTCTGTGCAAAAATCACGCAGAATTTCTTTACAACTTCCCAAAGATCTTTAGAATGTTGAAATCCAATTACTGAATGTTGGTCTAAACTTGGATTTAGTCTGGTAAAGATAACATAAGGCATTTAGGCAGTATACCTGACGAGTCGGGCATTTGGTATACAAAGTACAGCTTTTAGCTTAATGAAAGGGTATGTAATAGTTAGAAAAGTCAAAAAATTTGAGCATCCTCCGACCGATACTTTTTGAGTAATCGCAAAAACAGAAAGTAACAATAGATACTGGAAGTCCTTACTAACATAGATACAGGAAGCCCCTACTAACATAGATACATGGGAGTCCCTACTATAACATAGATGCATGGGAGTCCCTACTATAACATAGATACATGGGAGTCCCTATATATAACATAGATACATGGGAGTCCCTACTATAACATAGATACATGGGAGTCCCTACTATAACATAGATACATGGGAGTCCCTACTATAACATAGATACATGGGAGTCCCTACTAACATGCAAGTCTAGTGACGACTTCTAATTCGACTTCCATCTGTTCAACATTTTTAGATTACTTTTTTACATTCAAACTTTTTCATTAATTACAAGAAGACAATAATAATATAATGTCGTCACTTACTCCGACATAAAATATATTTTATTCGTGTTAAATGGGAAACACTGTTGTCAGATTTTCCTTTATCCTCTTGAAAATCAAATCGTGTTAGATCGACTTCTATATATTTTTTTTAAATCTTCCGAATTCTTTCAAATAATTGTATCAAAATAAAACTGTTTAGTCTGGATAACATATCCCTAGCTTCCCTGGAATATAAATACCTCGGTAACTTACCAACATTATTGTTTTATTAAATAAATATTGAAAAAAGAAAAAAATAATTATTTATGCTTTAAATTTATGCAAAAGTAATACAGTATAATTAAAAAACTTTGAAATAGAAAGACAACCTATAGACCTTTAGGTTATTACTTTAACTAGTCCAATGAGCATGGGACACAGTAATTGTTCAGTGTAAACAGACCCATTTCAATTAATTAGTGGTTTAATAAGTGTCTAGTTAAACAATTTGCGTTTAAACAAAATCAAATACACTTAAAACTGACTATAACGTCGTCTTCCCATATACAAAGCTTTCTGATTATTACTGTATATAATCTTAATGGACTGTACATACTCCATTAAACGTTTTAGATGTCCGATTTGAGTGATCCTTCTTTTTCTAGTTCAAAATTATCTTTTTTATCAATTGCTTTACAGTTCTTAAGTAACTTTGATATTTGTATATTTGTGCAGCAGAAACAAGATAGGTATTGTCAAAATGTAACACTTTTCTGGAGGGTAAAATGACAATATTTATTGTTACTAAGATAAAGAACAATTGGGTAAAGTTGTGAATCGGGCGCGGCGGGTGAACTGAAAGTTACCTAAATATTCTGATTAAAGGAAGTGAGTCTTTGTCACAAACTCTTATTTTCTCGTACCTAAAACTTTGAAAACTAATGTCGCAGATCTTTGATATTTTACAATCGCATACTTTGGAAAATTAACGAACGGAGGTGAAACTTTAAGATGGAAACGATCCCAACTTAACGAATGTGGAACGAATGGTTTTTTATAAATCAAGAAGGTGCCCGACATACATAGTATAATATAACATAAAACTTGGATCATGGTACATGGTTCATTTTCAAAAATGTCTGTTTGTTCCAAGATTGTTTATTAAGGTTAGATACTCTTGACTTCAATATACGGGAAATGTCGTCTTCATTGCACCATTCGATAATTCGATTGGTTTTGCTTTGTTCGGGCTTACAGGGGTACCCATAAAGGATTAGAATTTAGAAACTTCAGAGATTCTATATACGTGCACAATTTATTCAGTGTTTCTTCTTACACCATGTTAAAACACTGATAAACAATATTTTCAATTTACTTAGATTTTTTTTATAAAAATGCTTATAACCAAAAACACTGAATTTTCAAACACAGATGAATATGCCTATTTCTAATCAGGTATACAAATATACCGACCTATCATAAAAAACATTGAATGTGTGTAATGCGGCAACAGTTGAATTTGTATTCAGAATAACACATAATAGCCCTGGCTGAATGAGCTTTAATAATATATATCTTATACATATTGGATATCTTGACGCATTATTTATAATATGCAATACTTATACATAAATAAAAATAGTTTATTTATAAATAAATAGAAAAAAGTTATGTAAGATGTGAGGTGCGTGTGATGATTGATCAGCTAATGATCATATAAGATCAAAATAAGCTAAATTTATACTCAAAGAAGGTTTTATATTTTATATTTATTATTCATATTCAATTTTTTTATTAAACAGTGAGAACCAGAAAACTGTGGAAAAGTTAAGACAACATGATAACAACATTCAAGTACATTAGATGTTTTTACAACGCAAATATAATTTTACGTAAGTATCTTAACAAATTACTTAAAATGGCTTGTGCACAATTAACAATAATGTATCCATATTCATTGGGCTGGAGTCCATAACTGGAGTTCAAAAGTCGTCTTCCTATTACGCAGTTTTTTGGTTCTTACAGTATGTCTTGGAGCCTAACCCCCTTATGCAATTTAGAAAACAATGGAAAACTTTTATTTATTTTCTAAATTTAGTTTTAATGTTTTTGAATACAATCATACACTCAAACATACAAAATTTACAATTTGAATATAGAAAAAGCTTTTTTTGCAAGTAAAGATTTTTTGTCCATTTTGGCATCAGTTTCAGAAATTTAATTAATTTCAATGGCACTTCGCGCCCTATTTTAGTAACAACTTTTGATGGTAACCGTTGTTATTTAAGCTTCCCTTTTGTTGTTGTTTTAAATCGTATTTCGTAGATTTTTCATTTTAAAGAAATTGAGTCTTTGCCACAAACTTTGATTTTCCAATCCTTATATCTTTACAACCCAATATCGCAGACCTTAGATCTTTCAAACTGTAAATTATGTAAGATCGATCAAACAATCAAAGTTTGAAATGTCATAAGTTTTCACCAACAGGTTGCAAAGATATAAGGATTAGAACATTTCAGTTTGTGGCAAAGACTCAATTCCTTTACACATTTTCAAAAATGATGAATTTCTACAATATTTTCCTGGCAATATTTAGACCATCTTTGACCATCCATAAACTTTCCCTGGGGTCAAGTGAGTTGAGTTTAATCAGTTCAGCCATTTTGACGTTTATTGGACACAGACAGAGAGAGACAGACAAACAACTCGATTTGGATGTAATAACGAGAGCAGCATCTTTTATCTTTTTTTCATTTTATTTAGAATAGATTTATTGATTGTAAAATCTTTTCTCCCCCCCCCCACAGCACTCTTAAAACCACTCTCACTCTATCCTTTGAGTCGGATTGCACTCTTAGAAATCAAAAATATTCCTTTATTCCTAACATTGTTCCGAGTAAAAGGGTTGGTTTATTTCAACACACAAATGCAAATTCCATTTTCAATTTATCTTTTCTGTAAAAAGTGTTCGCGAATATGTTAAATGTAAAAATTACGAACTATGGTAATTGAGCGTTGTGTTCCTAATTTCTTTAAAAACATTCCGTTCCGTTCGTTCCCGTAAAAGAACGATCATTCTTCACGAAAAACGCTCAGCTATTAGTGATTAGTGATTGACAAAACTTTGTTAATTTTCCTAAGACTTGAACAGGTTTAGAATTGTTAAAAAGATGAGGTTCCAACATTTCAAAACTGTATTCTGAAAAAACTTTACTGAATGTCTATAAAACTATGCAATATTTAAACCCTATCAAGGATACATCAAATTTGTATTTCCTATTTCTGATATCGAGATCAAGCGTTTAAAATAATGTTCAATGTGGCCAATGACAATTTTAAACTTAATGATAAATACTTAATCCCTGCAAAATATGACCACCACGGGATATAAAGAGGAATGGCCTTACTCCACAGCTTAATTCTGGAAACTTTTTCAGAAATTCTGATTTTTAAATCTCTATATCTTTTCAACCCAATATGATGTCGTACAAGGTTATAATGCAAAGAAAGTTATTTCAGAGGTGTACGCATCTTTTGTACTGCAGTGTACTGTCTCTGGGGTAATGTAAGCACAAGACGGATGTCGAAGCCTGACATGGGATCCATCTTTCACATAAAAAGTCAATGAAATATTCTGGTTATAGGAAACTATTATTTGAATTATCAAAATTATCAAAATTTAATGCTTTTAACCTCCTCGGATACTAAACGAACACTGATGCATCTATTCGTGTTTACAAATTCCGACCAGAGAGAACTGGTTTCAATATGTACGCAGAGTATACGCAACTGCAATTAACTTTCCTTGCGATTATAACCTTGATGTCGCAGACCATGTATATTTTAAACTATGAGTTTTGTTAGATCATACAGCCTAAGTTTGAAATGTCAAAGGTTTACACCATCAGGTTGCAAAGATATATGAGTTAGAACATTTCAGTTTCTTTTGAAAAATCAATTCCTTTGAAGGATAAACATTTATTGAAAAGCATTTGCATCCATATTATTAATTATCACAATACTCGTTAAAAAACTAAAACACTCTTTTTAAAA